CCTTCAGCAAATGAGTTCACCAGCAATCCGGTTCCTGCCTATAGCAAAATTCAACTTTTTTCTTCCAGTTTCTTCTAGTCTCTTCTTATGTTAGATTTTTAGTTTGTTAGATAATTGGTTAGTTATTTCTTCTATAAATAGGATAGATTGCATTGTATTTTCTCAAACAAGTTGAATGGAATAATTTCTTCTTCTTCCCTGCTTCAGCAGGTCTATCATTCCGGTTTCTTCCTCTGTTATTTTCCTTTCAATAATATCGGCTTCTCTGTTTATTTTTTTGATTCCTGCATTACAGTAGAATTCTATTCCTCTCCTTCCTTGATTTTATCAGGATTAGTGGTTTTGTTATGTGATCACTACACTTTGAGTGGCATTTGTTAAGACTTATGCCATACTACACTTTGAGTGGCATTTGTTTTAGACTTTCAGTTACAATTGAGGATTAGCGGTCTTGTTATGTGATCACTACCGTATTGATCTATTATTTGATATTTTGTTGATCCATTTAATGTTTCTAGTTCATACATTAAGCATCTAATGTTAAAATGTTTACGTATTGTTGTTTTAGATAGTTTATGATCCATTTTGAGCATAATTTGTATCTTTATATTTTTTGAATTATTTTACTCATTTGAGTAGAGGAACTTTAAAAGTAAATATTCAGCAAAATAAGAAACTTAAGTGTGCCAAAACTTGCTTTAAGCACAATCAAACAAGCTCCTGTTCTTTCCCTCGCTTTGAAACAAATTTGCATCCAAATCATAACTACTTTGTGTAACATAACCAGAAGCTACTAAAACAGACATTATACCTGGTTATTAGATAATTTCTGAACAGCAACTACTCCAGTATGGGGAGGTGCAAGTGGACCCCAGAACATGGCAACACAATGCATGTGTTCAGGAGTGTATTTGAGCATGCGATATCGACCGCTGCAGTCCTCAATGGCATATATGGGAATGGTTTGATAGCGTCTCCATCCCATAGAAACAATAATTGGGTCTCTAGTCTTCAATACTTCCTTGTGCCATCTATGCCGCTTCAGCCGTACCTTTAGTAAGGTAACAGAAAATAATACATAAGCACTTGATATGTGATAAACAATGAGTAAAGAAGTAGGGATATGCAATTAATAATTCATTCTCGATTGTTTGGTACAAAGTATTAAAAAAAACTAATTGTAATCTACAATGACAAAAGTTTTTCTTTTTTAATACAGCCAAATACTTTACAATAATCCAACTTACCAAAAAGCATTGTGCATACACGAACGAGACCAAATATTGTCTACCATTATTTCAAAAAATTATTTGCTACAGTAAGATTCTCCACCACACATTCACCCAATAAAATATTCTACACACAAACCAATAAAGTTACTTTAATTTTCAACCACACATTCTCCAAAAAAACTATTCATTACACTAATTTTCTCTCAATAATGGGAGA